CGTTTGCACAAATATAGTCTGTTATGTAGCTAATCTTTGACGAACTTTTGTTTGAAAGTTTGAAATTGACACTTATTCACACTGCTTAACGTCTAAATTAGAATGCCCGGTGCATCGCATGACACACAACGTGCGAGTAATCGAAACACCGCCGTAAGTAAATAAAATAATTGTTGTTTATTCTTAAAATAAATGATTTTGCTTGAACGTAGTACCACTTATTAATTAACTTTGTTTAAATAGTTACTTTAATCGCTAAGAATCGAAAGAATGTTACGTTAAAACACTACTTTTATATTTAAAACTGCAGATTGCACAACAGCGCTGTTGCACGGTCTAACGTCACGACGGTCAATGCTGACGAAGAAGACGCTGATGCTGGCGAAGAAGTTCGATATACCGATCAGAGACGCGCTGAAGTTGGGCGCTATGTCTATGAAGATGAGCTGTAACATACAAACATTCGCGTCTTAAGACAGTCCACTAGCAACAGCAAATATTAACGAATTACGCAATAAGTTGAGAAAGCAAACAAGAACTAACAATCACACAAACGCTCAAACGTATATATTTAAAGTGAAAAGTTTTATGTTGACATGTCTTGACGCATTTTAATTTTAAATATCAAAATTTCAAATATCAGATTGATTTTTGAATCTTCTTTATAAAAAGAAGGCAACTAAGCTCAGTGTGAGAGCGCCACGGGCGCGTTACGGGCGCGTGTCGTAAACGCGGCCGTAAATTTTAATGGAAGGGTTCACGTCCAATGAATATGAGAGCAGAAATTTCTCGTATAAGTCTGTTTACAGCTTTTTAAATGATTTGTTACAAAACCCTACAGTAAACGAAAATTTGGTTCAGATAAGGTTATTACGTCATAAAATATTGATAACATTTTATTTTCCTTTCCCAAAAATCGTACAAAAAAGGGTTCAATGACTGGCATTAATTATCTCATTTGTTCATCTTTTGTAAGAAGGCCATGGTTTCGATTCTTTAATTATAGAATTGGTGCTGCACTTGCACTGCATTCAATTAGTTTCCTAGATCTAACCTGACATCATCTAACGATCAATAATCCAGCAATGTGAGCAATGAGAAGACGTAAATCTCACCAGATACCCGGTGTAGTTGCCGGCGTTGATGCCGACAGTGAGGGTCAGCATGGCGACGGCGAGGGGCAGGTTGCCGGCCGGCGTGTAGCTCAGCGCGATGAGCGCCAGCGCCGGCCCCCACAGACCTGGCAACAAACTCTAATTACTAACAAGGCAAGGCGTAGTTAGGATAAGAAGTAGGCAAATAATAAGGAAACATAACAAAAAATATTAACTAGCACAACAAGAAAGTCACATATCGATTCAATTCCAGTAGCCGCTGATACAAACATAAGGAAAACACAAATGCCCATTTATCACATTACCTTTAACACAAATATACGCCTTGCCTTACGGTACTAGTTTCCACTTTTACAAGTTTCCTTTTTTGAACGACAATAAATCCTTTTCTATGAAATATTTACGAAATAGTGTAATTTATTCAGGGTCAAATTATTTACCGATTGTATTGAATAGTTTTCTCGTATTGGTGACGCTCAACCAGTTCTTCTTAATGATGAAGTCGGTCATGGCTCCCAGCGGGAAGCTCAGCAGATATACCACGAGGTACGGCAACGAAGAAAGCATCCCATTCTAAAGACGATAAAGTTCATTTTATTAAACCTTGTTTTGATTAGGCGTTGTTTTTTCTCCATCTATCAAATTATGGACATTAAAGAGACGGAGATTGTCCGATCTCAATGTTTATTAAATGTACTGTTTATCACATCTGCGATCGCAACCTGTATGTCACACTGGTATTGAATACTTCAAGTGGTGTGAATTATAAAGTTGAAGTAAATTTCAAAGGACTTAAATGTATATCCGGTGGCATCAGATTTCCGTCAGTTGCATTATCAGGCATTCAGCATAAAAGTGAATTGACTTGCGATAATATTTCGATCACATGACTTCTTAACATCTAGTACGATAATAATTATTATATTGTAAAATAATAATAAAAAACAGAGGTCTGATTTAAATATGTTTTGGTAGTATTTTAGAATTTAATTTAATAGACCAATGTGCGTATTAGACTTCCTTTGAAAGCATTTTTGAAAACAAAACGAATGCATCGCAACAACACAATTACAATACTTTTTTTTGTGACTGATTTGCCACCGATTCACCGAGCTTGAGGTGGCCGAGCGCAGATGGCGCTTAGCCTAAACCTCGGACACTACGTAGTTCAATACGACCGGCTTACTTTTTTAATGTCCATGCCGAGGACTTTCGACATGTATGTGGGGATCTCCGTGAGCAGCGTGAAGAAGCCCCAGTTCTGTCCGCAGTGCGCCACCACCGCCGCCAGAAAAGGCAGGCTGGTGACCACGCTGCGCCACGGCGTCGGGTATCTCTGTACAACTCCTTCATTAATCTCTCAACTTTATTATAATAAGTTATTGGGTTTCAAATCAACACCCTCGTATATTTTCATGGGTCGCTTATAAATCTCAACGAAGGCAAATAGTGTACTTATGTGCATCATCATAACATTTATCTAAACAAATGAAAGAGTTGCATAATGTAGAGTCACGTTGGTAAATACTAAAGGGACGAATTAAAGCTTTTTATTAGTTACTTCTACATTTCGTTTCAATGAGCCTTAACCTACACTTCTTTCTTTCTGCTACAAGGTAAAATGTAAACAAAAAACAACATGTAATTGGCGTCAACAAAACATAAAGCTGTCATAGATAATGTTAAATCTTGAATCGGTAATAACTATTCAGTGGACATCTCTCGCGTGACTGATAACGTTGAGGACCGAGATTATCTGTTATCAGCCGGCAGTGGACCGGAATCATTTCATTATATTATGACGTAAGTAAAGTAAGATATTTGCGTGTTGGTAGCCGCAGCCGTTATCAAACAATTTAGCGCGTGCACAAATGTCATGATATCGCTCATCAATTTTGTTTTTCAATAAAAGTTGACTTTTGATTTCGCTATATTTATAAATGTAACAAGGAGTTAATTTACAAAGATGGGAAGTAGCGCTAGTACTACGTACTAACTGATCACTGGAACATAAAATAATAAACGAGTATGCATAGCTGAGACAATGAATTATGCTTTTACGATATCTGTACCCCTAATGCATTTACATTTTTAAAAATGAAATAAAACAAACCTTTTGTTCTCCGACTCTTCCCAAAGACACCTGAATGTATTTGAGTTCGTTGGCTGAGATAGCTTTGCTCGTCTCCAGCGACGCGGAGCCGAACATCAAGTAGCAGACGACCCAGATCGCTCCGAGTAGCGCGTTTGTATAGAAAATAGCTTCCCAGCCCCAAGCTGAGGCTATAAATCCTGAAGAAAGTAGCTGCAGAGCAACTCCAAGCTTCCCTCCTGAAACATTGAAGTAATCTAAAAAAAGAAACTAGTTTGTATAGTTAACTAGATTGGGGCTACTGGATATCCTCCAATATTACCAAAAAGTGCCAATAAATAAATCAAAGAGAAACTGTGGTGGAACATTATGGTATGTAAAGCCGCGATACTCAACAAGACTTTGCAAATAAGATGCTCTAAAAATGTATGCAGAAACTGACCCGCGTAGATGACGTTGCAGAGGAGGCCCCTCTCCTCGAAGGGTATCCACTGCGTGACGAGGTGGTGCGTGGCGGGGAACAGGAACGCCTGCGAGAAGCCTTGCAGCATGCGGCAGGCGCAGATCAACTTCCAACCACCCTAAAATTATTAGAACGATTTATTTTTTTCCCTATGATAAAAAATATAATATTATCTTTGATGTTTTATAAACTCGATATAATTTAAAATAAATAATAATTACTTTCTTCTTCTTCTCAGAGCACGCACTAGTAACTGTATCCTGCTTGCTACTTACGAGTTTGACTGCTAGTGGTGTTATCAAGGAAACTGCGGCGTTCATGATCATGGAAATGGTGAGGAAGATCTTCCCGCCGTAGCGACGCGATAACTCGCCAGCAGGAACCTGCAGCATGATGTAGCCCCAGAAGAATGACGACAGGATTTTAGACTGGACGCTGTGGCTCCAGTCGAAGTGCTAAGAAATTTATCAAATTTGAGATAAATCTTACATTGGTTGTAATGGTTAAATTTTAATAGAAGTAAAATTTCATGTATCACTATATTACAAAGTTTTCAATTTCCATCAACACATTAAGTTTGTGATTCTCTTAATACTTAGACCATATGGCCTATTGATCGTAATAAGTAAATCTCTAATTCCTAACGAACCCACAAAAGTTAATAGAACTTAGGCTCTTTTAAGAAAGAGAACTTAGTTCTTTTTAGAGTGAACCGCTTCCACATGTCTTCGAATATTATAATTGCTTATGGGCATTGATCAATCAATATTAAGTGAACTGGTGCTAACTTAAACCTAATGATCAAAACGAAATGAATAATAGAATTTGTTTTATACTGACGCCCTCTTTGGTGGTGTCTGTCATGTCGACGATGGCGAGGCTGATGTTGACGCGCATGCAGTACAGCAGCAGCATCGACAGAAACAGCAGCAACGTCTGCGTGTGCCGCGTGCCCAGCCCAGCTGCCGGCAAATACATGTTTAACTTTTAGTTAAAACTAAGGTTGCGCAACGAACTAATGTAGGTCTTGGCTTTCCATAGTCGTATTTCGTGGTTCCGCACCATCTGGGCCTAGCTCAAAATTTGGTACTTCTGCAAATCTGACCCTACCTTCTCCTTTCAGCGTCACCTGAGAGGGGCCGAATTCACGGTATTACTCCGAACATCATCTATTCCTTCCAAGGGATCGAACCAACATTGGTTAACTTCGTAAATGCATATTAAAACAAAATTTCGATTCGCAGACAGATTTCTTGATTTGTGTTTACATGGATTTTAATCGATTATTATTACGTCGCTCACTATTCCGAAAATTCTTCTATTTTAACTATTTTACAAGTATTTAATACATAATCAAAAAATTAAATGAAGCCATAAACTCACGTGACGCTATAATGCGATGTTCAACGATTTTCCCCATTATATTTTCTTTTATTATTATTTTGTAAATAATAAAAACAATAGTAGTCGCTGCACAGAGACAGCGCCGAACAAAACGCTCCAACATATCCCGTTGTGCGTTAATTTATAAATTCATCTGAGCTAAGACGTCACAGTTTATCTCATAGATTTAGTCAATCTTTACCCATTGCATTACTTTATCTTATCGTGTCCCTTTCCTTATGCGTACCTAGGTCCATATAAAAGACTAACGTAACCTAACCTAAGCAGTTATATTGTTACAAGTGTTGTTAGAGAGTTATAACACTTTGATAATTCTTCTTTAATTTATTCGCGACTCACACTAACAGGGGTTCACTGCACTGTCACAATTATCCGTTAACAATATACGACACACACAAACACAGAGTCACTAGCACTGAACACTTCACAAAACACTACCGACACTATAACAATTGCGTTTTCACTTCACGGTCACTTTTTCTTCTTCGCAGTTCACTTTCTTCCGTAAGACTCCCCGGGTCGTATCTGTTCCTCTACTCCCCTTGCATAGCCCGAATTTTGATTTCTTCTTTTCGTTATTTTCTTCCAGTACATTCTAGATTGTTCGAATCGCATACATTTTCTAATAGATATTCTCGATGCCTCCCTATCCTTTTCCGCTAAGTGCCAACATATGGCGCAGCGATAGAACATTCTGGAAAAATCTCAATTTTGCCACGGACATGAATTCCGCTGACCGATATATTTATACGATCATATTTATACAATTGTAAAATAAACATAGATATTTTTTTTTTCTTTAATAATTTTGTACATTCATTTTTTGTCTTTCCGAAATCATTTTAAAATAGCCAATACCGATTTTTTCATGTTTGAATTTGGTGTTATCAGATTTTGAAGACAGAAGTGTTTTAGATTCCTATCCTTCGTCTGAAGAACACTAAATACGTTCAGTTATGGATGTCTTTCTCATGTTACGTAATGTTAGTTCATAGTTTTTATCGCAATCCAACCACCAAGTTTAAACGAAGACGAATCCGTACTTTAGGGCGGTTTGAAATGTATAATAAAAAACTACCAGACATTTTCGGTAACGATACGTAAAGGGAATCAGTGTCGGAGACGCGTGAGTCGTTTTAATAAGGAAAACAATTTCATAGGTTTTTAACGTTTATTTTTTTTTTTTTGTAAATTATTCATAAATAATATATGTGTATTTTAAGAATAATTCAGGTACAAAAAACGTAGCATCAGCCATACAGACATTATTTTTCGATGGGTTTTTCTATGTTCGGATCTGAAAAAATAAAATAAAACATAAGCATTCAGATTCTTAAACAAAGAATCAAATATTTATTAAGCAAATTTAAAAAGTGGCAATAATAATAGCCAAGTTACAGGACAAGTTTGCATCTTACAACAATTTTAATGCAAATCTAATATTTGTCTGTTTTATTTTAGACAATCCATTGTACCCTAAAATGCTTGAACTATATGAGCCAGGCTGATACTGTTCACATTTAATTCATCCATTCATCTGTCTACAACAATTGTTTATGAAAACTCATAATAAAACAAACCGGAATCTTCTTCCTCCGGGTCGTTCCAGGGTTGTTTGTTGGATGTGGTAAACAGAACGAAACATAGATTGGTACAGAAGTAGATGCCTGACGCCAAGAAGAACACCTTCCGCCACTCCCCGGGATCCGTCTGTAATCCAATAACACCAACATTACTTGATTAAAAGGACGAACAGATTAATGTTATCTGTAAATGCGTTTTTTCATAATAATATTTAATTTCATAAAACAAATAATAATCTAGGTAACATTATTACAAAGAATTAATCTAATTTCCGGCTTTGAACGGGATAAAGGAAAGGTAATAAATCTTAATCTTTACATATTTTTTATAACTTTACCTCATCTTGTATGATAATGCCGCAAACCAACGGCGCTATGATAGATATAATGTTAGCGAAGAAGTTTGAGATAGCCATCAGAGATGAACTGAAGTTTGGCGCCAAGTCCACCAAAATTAACTGCAAACAAATTCAAATTTCATTTTAAAATGATATTTAATGATTTCTTAAATACTAAGTTGTAATGTAGTAAATACACTTTACGCTCTTTCTTTATATTAAAGGGGCGGAACGGGAAAGAAGACTGAAATTTGGCTTGGCAACGGATTTTATTGCAGTACACTATTACACTGGTTATGCTTGGAATTTGATCTATGAAAAGTAAAGTTAGTGCTATAGTAATACTCGAACACTCACCATGTATCCTGTGAAGTGGCCGGCGTTGATGCCCAAAGTAACCGTTAGCATTAGCACGGATATTATCATATTGCCCTCGGGCGCGTACGACAAGCCGATTAGCGCTAGAGCCGGACCCCACAAACCTGTCAAACGGTACAACTATAAGTATTAGATGATTATAGACCAGATATATCTTAACTTTTTTTCTCAGCAGCGTACATCTATACCATGTCTTAAGTGGACAACCTGAACTACGCAAGGAACTTGACGCATACAAGGGAGACATTTATATGATTAAGTAAAAATAATGAAAGTACCTATAGAGTTGGACAACTTCCTCGTATTGGTGACGCTGAGCCAGCGGCGCCTGATGAGGAAGTCTGTCAGAAAACCCACGGGGAAGCTCAGCAGGTACATGGCCAAGTACGGCAAAGACGACAGCACGCCGTTCTACAACAATTGAAATTATTAGCAATCGTGACAATGACATATCAAAACTAGTTGATATGATTACATTACGTACGTTGTCAATATCGTACATATCTTATTAAAATCACATAATTGCTGCCTGTCTCACTGACCTGTTTCAAGTTAACATCCAGTACTTTGGCCATGTACGTGGGCATCTCAGTCATGAGCGTGAAGAAGCCCCAGTTCTGTCCGCAGTGCGCCACCACGGCCGCCCAGAACGGGAGGCATGTCACGATCTTCAGCCAGGGAGTACGGTGTTTCTAGTTTATAAAATAATTCATTTATACCTCTCGAAGCAAATGTACAGAAATGAGAATAATTATTTTATGTAAGTCATTTTACTTCCAAAGTATCGTTTGACTTAATTTTAGTATCTAAAAATGTTATAAAGAATAGATACAAATCCTTATTCAACAAATTAACAAATTTTATCTTTATGTGATCCTTGCTCACAGCTCGAGCCCGGGGGAAGGAACGTCGCAAAAATTTCTTATGCAAATGTTAAATTTTACAAATGTATTTCGCTTCATCAAAAATCCTTTTTCCCGGTGCGGAGATAAGTGTAATAAGGAATCTCTCCAGCGTAAGGGAGCGGTAATGAGCTATTTTGCTATTCCCCTCCATGAATAATTCAGGTGCTAGACATTACACTTGCTAATGAGAGCACGCACTTGTTGTCAGACAGCCGAGTCGCGGAATTAGCTCAAATTGTATTAACTAATTCGGGGATTAGGTGCGGGGATATCTTTTTAAGTGCTGTGACCGCATGAATGGTCACTTAAATATAACAAGATATCCCAGAATATTGCTACAAAATGGCGATTTAGCACTTTTTTTTTTTATTTTAACATAATTTTACTTTAAACAGCTTGTTGTCCATCATAATACTTGGACTTGCCTTTTGTTCTTCGGTTCGTCCTAAAGACGTTTGTATATATCTAAGCTCATGCTGTGATATCATTTTGGATTGCTCGGGCGAGGCGGCGCCGAGAAAGACATAAGCGGCTGTCCAGAGGCCGCCACATATCGCGTTGGTGTAGAAGATCGCCTTCCAACCCCACGCAGACGCTATGAACCCTGAAGAGATCAGCTGAATGGCCACGCCTAGCTGACTGCCTGTTCAAGAAGCGACATTGTTGTTAAATTGTGATCACAATTCACACAATTAATTGCAATTGCAATGAAAAATATACCAGCATATATGATAGTGCTAAGCCTGCCCTTTTCTTCTAGCGGTATCCATTGGCTGACGAGGTGGTGCATGGAGGGGAACACGAAAGACTGGGACATACCCTGCAGCATGCGACACACCAATACGAACTTCCACCCGCCCTGCAACGTACAAAATAATATAAAGTTACTTTACGGAGGGTCAGCTTAATTTATCTTATACTATGCTGCTGATGACGACACTTAAATAAGAACCAAAAAATTAAAATACAATTTTTTTAATACATAGTAAACTATCATATACGTGTAAAATATGTAAACTTTATGTAAAATTGTCATGTCAATAAAAAGGCTTACATATAAATAAATAAACAAACTTACATAATAAGCAGCTGTGGGTAGGATCAGAGAGACAAACGCGTTGACAGACACGGAGATTGTGATAAGGACCTTGCCTCCGAATCGCTTGGCTAGTTCACCAGAGGGCAGCATGAGCAGCACGTAGCCCCAGAAGAATGACGACAAAATCATCGACTGCATGCTGTAGCTCCAATCGAAATGCTGAAAAAGTACAGGGTTTGAGATTACAAAAAAAGTCAAAAGCATTTTTTTTTATTTTAAATTTGTTCGTCATTTTGTAACATTTTTGGTTAAATTTTCAATCTATCGGAAAGGTTTAGGTTTAGGTTTAGTTTTGAACTGTCTATTATTACTATCCTTGAATAATTCCACTGTAAGAAATTTTATTAATACAATAAATTAATGTGCAGCGATAAATCAGTGTGTCATGACCTGACCAAGCCCACATCCACACACATTACTGTCGAAGATACGGAGAATATGTTAAATTATTTAATTGCCTTCAGTATGTAAAATTACATCAGCATTCATCACATAATTGTCTGTGTTGTGTCTCGATATAATAGGTCGATGAACATTATGTCTGCATTGGAAACAGCTAATGCCCGAAACTTCGTTAGCGTGTAAATTTTGAAGTGGTAGTGTGTGAACTACCACATTGCAATGAATGCAATGAAAAATAAAACTGTATTTGATATATTATCCTGGCTAATCTCAGTGAGATTATATCAAAAGAAATTTAGTAGATAACTAATCTGTCCAGGCATCATGGAAAAAACTGCATTTGATCGTGATCACGATTGCAAGATTCATTTAAAAAACGCGTGAAAGAAACGTGATCGGAAAAGGAAAACATTCTAAACAAAAATTAACTGGTTTTTAATTATTTTTTATGCTGTACAACATTGCTTACGTCGTCCTTGGTGGTGTCAGTCATGTCCACTATGGCCATGCTGATGTTGACGCGCATGCTGTACACGAGACATAGCGCAAGGAAGAGCAGGAACGTCTGTAAGTGACGCACGCCAAGGCCCCCTGCAAGTTAGTAACACTACAGTTATATTTTTTTAGAACAGATAATTTACAACGAGAACGGCATATCACTCAAACGATTCTTTCTTTTTTGTTTAGATAGAGAAAATATCTTTCCTATTATCATTTCGAAGGAGATAACATACTAGCACATAGCAATTACTCAACTGTAATTACCTCATACGAACTTTAACTGAACAATTCAATTATTTTGTTAAACCTAGCATAACTGAACATATGTAGCGGCTTTTATATTCACATTAATCATATCAGTTTCTGCACACTTATGTACCTCGAATGTTTCTATCGATGTGGGAACAATTTGATTGTGCTGGCAACAAGGGGGTTTTTTCATTAATTTCGTCTACACACATCATGCAAATCACAGACTCGATAGACGCACTTGCTTAATATGACTGATCCAAACAGTAACTGCATTTTGTTAGTATTTGTGTTTGTAAATCAGATAAGCTAACGACTACTTAGTTCTCAACGGACTTAATCATTATAAGTCAATATAATTATTTATCGGAGTATATAGTATCTCGTTGTTATTGTTAAGAAAACTCTACTTACTACTGTGTATTCTAAATCAAATGGATCTTGATCCCGGGATCCTCGCAAAGAATAGATAATCATCCTACTCTCGAGGCTCAGAGCCTACATTATATTTGGTGTAACTAGGTCATAGTCAACCACGCCGGCCCAAGTTGACGTCTTCTCAGACATGTGCATGTTACATCTTCTATGGCTTTCTTCACCGTAAGAATATGAGGTATATGGACATATGAATTAAAAACATATTTGTACATGACGAGATTCGAACCCAAGTTTTCTATCTTTATGATGAAAAATGAAAGTCCACCATTTATTAATAAAATAGTTTGGTAACACCAGGTTTGAGACATTAAGCTCCACGCTAGTGTTCAACCTGTTTAGCTCCATTGGACAAATAACCTAATTTTCATAGAAATTATTGATCTATTTTATAGGAGGTGTTGTTACTTCTTGTAGCATTTGATAAAACATTACAAACCGTTACCAAATATACTTGACATCTGAATTTAGTTGACGTTTGATACCAGTACTTTTATCTTCATAAGTCATTTTTATCGGAATCATATCGACTGCCAGAGAGTTATTTCATTCATAGATAAATGATTGCTATCTACATTGAATGACGAAACGCAAATAGGGGTTCGTTAAATTTGGGGGCTCGAAATTAATCGCCCATTCCTTTAGCTCTTCAAAATCAGCAAACAAAAAACGAGGAAATCCTTTTCTTTTGATTTCATTCAAAAATCTCTAATTCAACAAATGTTACTCAAATATGCGCGCCTACCCTTAAATTTAATATTTGCTTTATATAGATTTTGCAAACTAAAATTAACACTTGAGGATCCTTTTAACGTCACCTCGTGTTTGATTGCGATAGATTCAAAGTTAACACTATTTCATCATCTCCCTTACCTTATCCTACTCTCGTAACATCGGCGCACCAGGTTTCCGTCCTTCAAATAACTCTATCATCCGTCATCTCACACATCACTCTCTTCTTAATCATGTCACCTTTCACGCAATCCATCCATTTATTTCTTGTTTAAATAAGGAGCTAACATTATTTAAGTACCTTAAATTGACACAACTTGAGGAGATTGAACTTACTTGGAGGAACATTTTCAGTTTCGATTATTTTACCCATGTCGTCTGGAACTGCGTTTATTTCATGAATCTTATTCGTGTTACTTGTCCACGCCGAGTAAAATGCGGACCGATGTATCGATCTCTTAAATGTCCAACAACAACTAGAGATTCAATCGAATTGCAAATACTCTACCATATATCATCATCTGTCAATATTTATCTTGAATTGTTTTGTAAGCGATATTTACGTGCGATATAAATGCGATGCAAGATATTTTTGAGCTCGGACGCTGCAGTCGCCTCCCTTGACGTCATTGCAACTGTTGTTAGATCTTAATCAACAATAATATCCACTTAAACATAGATAAGTAAACATTAACAGATCAGATATTTGTAGCTTACATGGTTTCGTGCGCTCTTATTTGCGTCATAGAACAATTTCGGGAATAATTCGACAGTTAATATAAAAATAAATGCAAACTTAGTTGTAAATGTAAACAGTTCTCTTAATATGAATTTTCAAAATAACATTGACAGTGCTGTAACTCGGGCCCACTATTTCATTCACAGATACACGTTGTCACAGATATGCTTTAGTGAAGCGTTATAATTCTGGCTGTCATGTTTAGATTATTACTGCTCAATGTTCTGGTAATGTTAGAGTATCTAATCAGCTCCCAGTCAGTACTAACGATATACAAGCTCTACCATTGAGCTATTTTCAAGGTTGTCAATACAATTGAAAACATATTTTTAAATTGTAACTTCATTTATGAACTCGGGTATTTAATTATTTACGTACGAAGGAATAATTAATCAAAAAAACAAGAGTCCAGTATTATTTTTATTATGTCTAACTATATACAAGCCTTTGTTATTTCAGGTACAGAAATAAATAAAAAAGTAGTGATTTAGACCGCGGTGTTTCTTCAGCCAGTCGTCGGTTTTATTTCTGTAACAAAAGAGAAAATATTAATCCGTAAGTCCGTATTTCTTTGGTTCACATAAAAATTCAATAACGTACCGATATCGGTTTCTTTCTTATGTTCGTTCCACGGCTGCCTCGTTGAAGTCATAAATATTAAAAAGAAAAGATTTGTGAAGAAATACACGCCCGAGGCGAGGAAGAACACCTTCCGCCACTCCGATGCTGCCGTCTGGAACAATACACATTACCTTTACTTTGTAACATGAATTTAGGCTATAATCTTTAATACGCAATTAATTAGTATTAATTGAAAGCAA